CGAAAAGTGGGGGTTGTCTTATACATGGGGGCGTCTTATTAACGGAAAAATACGGTATTTGCAGAAGAAAACAGAACAATAATAATGATTGACAATATATATGAAATACAAAAAGACATACCAAACACTCAGGACCAGTTCTGACAGGATATGTGTTTCCTACTTTTAGCGCTAAACAGATGACCTTTTAACACTTTTTGATGATTTAACATAAAGCCTATTTCAGTATGCGTTTCCCTATTATAGCAGAGATTCCGCTCTTGAAGTTGTTTAAAAAGGGAATTTCTCATTAAAGTTCTCTCCATGTGTCAGAGACATACCCAAGGACTGTCACGTCCAGGGTTGCTGCTTCTGGCAGGAAAGGTCAAAGCACCCTCTTTTTATTTTTCAGTAGCTAGGCTAAAGGGAAAAGTCCTTGTTAGGCAGCTAAGATACAACACAAGTATGGAGACTAGGGTATGTCAGGAAGTTCAGCCTAAGTAGTTGCAGCCTAATACAATGATCTTGTATTGGGCGACAGTGGAAAAAAAGAGACCTGCCAGTAACATAAGATAAAATTATTCCACCTTCCAGCTTGTAACATAAACCACTGATGCAAACATCAAAGCAAGAGCACCTAAGCCTTATCCATCCAGAATGCAAATGTAGTTAGGTATAGGCTGGAAGGTATAAGCATTAGGTGAAGAAAGCTGGGTTGAAAATAACACTCAATGAGTGCTCATAAATGGAGTGAGTATTATTCAGCATTTTTATTAGTTATCTGGATGAGGAGATAAATGGAACACTTAAAATATTTGTAGATCACACAGAAGTGGACGGGACATCTACTTTCCTGGAAGACTAAAATAAAATTTGAAATAATAGGTTAGACAGATAGGCTGAAAATAATAGGATGCAATTTAAGAGAGACAAATTCAAAGTTATGGATTCAGGAAAAGAAATCAAATGCTCAAGTACCGGATGGGGAATAACTGGCTTACAAAGATCTTGGAGTAATAGTTGATTGCACAGTGAGTATGAGTCAATAATATATTGAGAATGCAAAGAAGCAAATGCAATTTTAGGCTGCATCAAATGAAGTATAGTTTTCAAGTCATAGGAAAGATTACTTCTCTTTCTTTCCTTTGGCAGTCCCACCATGGCTATTTTGTCCAGCTCTGGACACCAGACTTTAAAATGGATTCAAGTGAATTGGACAAACATGGATTAGAAACCAAGTCTTATAAAGAGAGATTGAAGGAACTAAGAATGTTTGGCTTTGATGAGAAAAGGTTGAGTGGGGATACGATAGCACTCTTCAGTAAATGAAAGGATATAACCGAGAAGAATATTAAAATTTTTCTCTATTGTTCCAGAGTGCATGATACAAAATAATGGATGCAAATTACAAGAAGGTAGATGTTGATAAAATTGTTCCTAACAGTAAGAACAATTTGAAAGTGGACTTTCAAGAGATGGGGTGGAGAAGAATATTAAAATTTTTCTCTATTGTTCCAGAGTGCATGATACAAAATAATGGATGCAAATTACAAGAAGGTAGATGTTGATAAAATTGTTCCTAACAGTAAGAACAATTTGAAAGTGGACTTTCAAGAGATGGGGTGGGCTACCCTTCACCCCTCACTAGCAGAGGCTAAACACTATTTAACTCTTCTTGAACACATCTACTGAAGGGAAGCCAGGCTGGTGTTGGTGTTAAGGTGTTGGATTAGGACTGGGTAAAACCCAAGTTCAAGTCCAGCCTCAGGTATTGAAGTTCCTGGGTTGTTTGAGACCAGTCACTCAGCTCAATTCCTCACAGGGTTGTTGTGGGGAAAATGAAATATAGAGTGCTATGTATACCTCCTTGAGCTTCAAGGGGAAAGGCAAAGATATAACAAGTAAATAAATATCTGTCTTAATTTGGATTCCTGCTTGAGGAGTGGACAGACTTGATGACCTAAATAACAATTCTCATCTAAGATACTTCATTGTAATCAGTAAACCAAAATGTTAGATCAATCCAAACATATAATGGGCCAGTTTTAACTTGCATTTATTTTTTAAACTGAGCTGTTTGGGGAATGGTGTTATAGTAACTAGTATTGTAACTAATACAGTATTGTACCTCCTTACTAGAAACTGGCATCTTAGAGCTGATAATAATTTATTCAATTGTTAGATTATGTTTTAGAAATGAGTTCCAAAAGAAAACAAAACATTTAAATTCTGTGTGGATGCGAGAAGATTTGTACACGACAGTTAAAAAAAAAGTTGAATAGAGGAATATGAACTTGGGAATAGCAAAAACCAAGCGCTAAGAGAAAGAAGAATTTGTACAATCTATACTAGGTTAATAACACATTTTCATATAATCTGTATTAGACTATACAACAAATAGCTTGTAGTCTACACCACTGTTTCTCAACAAGTTGTATACAGTACAACAGCAGTCTAAGAGAGATGCATTTCCCTTCCCAAATCATGAAAGAGGTCAAGAGAGAAAAGTAGTCAGAGAAGGCAGGCAGAGTTGCTAGCCTACAGCTGAAAAGTATTGAGGCAAAGAAACTCAGCGTTTTCACAGTGTTTCCTGGAGTCCAGGATTGGAGCAGCCTTTTTGATGCCAAAATAACATTTATGCTAGTTTGTTCCCTCTTTTTTTAACCCTTTTTAAAAACTTTTTAAAACTGTTTGCTTATTTATATATATATATTTTGGCTTAAAGAAAGACTTTCCAGATTGGCAAATGCTGCTTCAGCCCCAATGAGCTCACTCATTATTCTACCATTATAGCAGGAAGTTCAACAGTATTGCTGCAATGTTTAAGTCCTTAAACATACTATAACAGATACATATACAGGTAGTCCTCAATTTACAACCATTCATTTAGTGACCCTTTGAAGTTACAATGGTGGTGAAAAAAGTGACTTACAACTGGTCCTTGCACTTACGACTATCACAGCATCCTTGCAGTCACGTGATCAAAATTTGGGCGCTTGGTAACTGGCATGTATTTATGACAGTTACTGCATCCCAGGGTTACGGGATCACCACTTGCAACCTTCCCAGCCAGCTTCCGACAAGCAAAATCAGTGAGGAACCACATGATCCACTTAACAACCATGGTGATTCACTTAAGGACCACCTTATTTAATGACTGTACTGCTTAACAACAAATTTTCTGGTCCCTATTGTGGTCGTAAGTCGAGGACTACCTGTAGTAACAGAATACTTGTAAACATACATGTCATTTTCAGAAAAGGTAGACTTTTGGTTCATATGTTGGAGGACCCAGGTTGTTTGATACAGAAGTGTGAAAACCACTGGTCTAGACTACTGCAGTTAATACTGTTTGAATGAAATGCTGACATTTGTGTAACTGTTTCTATGCTGCTTTGAAGAAACATCCATATTTCATCACTTGTCCAATTGTTCTTCCATTATTACTAGATCCTCCTTCTTTAGCTTTGTAACCATCACTACATTTTATGCTTCCAAATTCCATAGTTAAACTACATGTGTTTCTTTATATAACCCTATGATTTTTTAAAATTCTGGAACAAAACTTCCAACTGACTGAGGAAATGAATTAAACATCTTTGGTTAGGCTATGTTGACAGAAGGAAAGGATGAATGTTTCATGGTTGTACAAGCTTTGAATAGGTGTTGTTATTTCCAGAATGTCTGAACGGAGCACTGCCTCAAAGCTGCTTTGCAAAGCAATGTGCTTCCCTCCTCTTAAGAGCAAACCAAGCATGTTGGATCTTGTTCTGCCAAAGACTGCTTGGAGCAGCCTCTGAGCGCGCTAAAGGTTTTCTAGGTTGCATAGCTTCAGTGAATGCTGCAGGCAATTCCAAGACTGCCCAGTCTATAAGACCTTCAGCCAGTATTGAGGAAAAGGTGAAGAGAAGCCGCCTCTGCAGCACTGCCCTGAGATCATTCCAGATCAACCAAACTGCTTCATTAAAGGAGCAATTCATCAGGTCATCTCTTTACTTCAGTGAAGCAAATCACAATGTCTATGCAGGGCAAATATCTTTCTTCACACGAAACTAAGTTTGCATAGATGTAATGTTTTTCTAATTCCTATCATTGTTACAGATCTTCAAAATAAATCCCTCAAATAAATATGTCTTAAAATGTAACGCTCTGCTCACTGAAACTTGCAAGCCTGACCTACAGTTCAGCTCCAAATTCAAATGTCACTTATACTATCTGTAAATAAAAGCCATGTGCCTTGTTAACTGAGGTTGTGTTATATAAGCTTCAATAATAATATAAATAATGTTCTGAAAAATAGGATTTTGAGATTAACAAATTTATATTAATGAATTATCAGGCAAAGAACCACCTGTAAATCTAATATTAAAGAAAACAAGGTCCCTTCTCTAAGTCATTCTTAAAACTGTAAATAGCATTACATAGTAAATGCAGCATGTAGAATTTAAAATTGTTTTAGGGATATGTGACTGTTTTGAATATTTTGATATTTTTAAATTTTATTTATTTAAATAATTTATATGGCCACTCATCTCACAACAGTGACTCTGGGTGACATACAAGGATTAAAATATTATTTCTGACATGAGAAAACAGAAGCTCTAACAAATCTGAGAAGCTTGCCCACTGTTTCTCCCTACCCTAGTGTTCTGTCACTACTATTCCCTTTTCTCATTGTTTTTTCCTTCTTGCAAGACTTAATTGTGCTACTCCCTTTCTGCCCACGCATTGCAGGAAAGCCAGGAAGTGGAGTGATGTGCTCACCATATTTATTTTCCTACAATGCCTCTGAAATCCACATGGAGCCCTGAGGTAACCTGGGCAATTTAAAAAACACATACCAATATCTATTTTGGAAAAGTCATCCAAAACGTTCCTTACCTTGTAGTATTGTGAAATTTTTAATCAGCTGACCATGTTTAGAATCTACCAGCTTCATTTCTTCCATTATTACTGATAAATTGGCTACTTCAATATCTAACCGTGTCCTCAACACATCCTGTTGCATCCTTAGAGTAGTAGCATCGAAACGAATATTTGCTAATGTGTTGTTCATAAAAGTCAGCTCATCTGTATGTTTACTAAGAGTATCTGTGCATGTTGTCCTGACATCATTGAGATTGCTGGTTAGTGTCCGTAAGCGATGGGCAGTGTAGCTAATATTACCAATAATGTTGACAATATCTGTCTCAAAGCTATTAAACTGGTCTTCTTGCTGGTTAAATCTGGCAGATGTTCTGTTTTCATATTCTTTATGGTATTCTTGGAGATCCTTCAAACTTTGTTCATTGGCTTGAGCAACAGTAGTGATATTCTCCATCTGTCCACTGAATGAGTTCAGCTGACTGCTCATATCCTCAAGTGTATCTTTATTAGTTTTGGTCATAACTGAATTGTTAGTTGCTAATACTTGCAAATTATGCACTTTCTCTTTAAGCCAATCAGTGTCCTTCCGTGCTTGGAGGGCAACCTGCTGAAGGTTTTGAAAGTCATTTTTGATTTTTTGGATAGCCTGACTTGTATCATCCACAGATCTCTGCAAAGCACTGATAAGATTTCTTTGCTGAACCTGTGTCCGGTTAAGATTATTTAGATTCATTATAACAACGTTATGTGAGTGCATTTGGCTTTGCAAAGTTGTTTGAATGTCACTTGTGTCTTGCTGGAGATCACTGATGTAGCCATTGTAAGATTGAAGAGTTTTGTTGATACTGTTGATCGTGAAAGAATTGCTATCCAAAATATCATTCATTTGGCTTTGCCTGCCATTTAACACACTACCAGATTCTTGTAACTTCTCCAGTGTATTTTTGTCCTTCGCAGTTTTCTCTGAAATCTCATGAAGTTGCTGGCGGAGAGCTGAGATATCAGCTTTGAAGCTTGAAAGCTCTGTGCTTGTGCTTATGGCTTTCTCTTCAGCTTGGTAATCTGAAAGAAGCAGGAAAATGATATATGTTCACATTTGTTACTTATCAGAAGAACAGTTTAACAGAGTTTATTTCATTATAAAAACAGAAGAATAAGCCAATATGTAAACAAACATATTTTGGGGATTGCTAATAAACATTGTGTATGTGTTAGGAAATTCTCTATTAATACAAATTAGTTTCTATTAACAAAGCTGGAGGAAGGGTCATTGCAAAATAGAAAAGTAAAGGCATACAAAAAGCATACGAATTCCCTTTTATGAGTAAACCTAGCTTAATATAATCTGTTCTCACTATCAGAAACTCACCACGGTCTCATACAAGAAGAAAGCTGTCCTGTTGCATGTTTCCAGAAGGGTGAAAACTGTGTGTTTGCCAATATCCCATTTACACCAGAGATTAATCTTAGCTTTAGTAGACCTGACACATGTTTTAGTTGGCTTTACAGTGAGTAACTCTATAACCTGTATATGCATTTACTCAGTATAGTCCTGTATATAGTGTGGAATTCAGAGTATGAAAGCTTAAAGATGAACCACTAATAAATTAAGCTAATCTTTTAAGGAATCTATAACTATCTACTTTAAAAAGTTACCACAGGTTCCAATTTTAGTATATTGACAACTTCAGTAATAAAGGCATAATAATTTCATCATTTATTTAATCAATCAATCAATTCATTCATTCATATTAATTACCCAGTTTCTTTAAATCACTTTTCACTTCTATAAGTTTCTCACTGCATCTTTGGCGTGAAACTTCCATGTCACCAGAAACACTGTCCATTTTTTCTACAACTAGAACAAAAGAAAACAATATCTTAGCAGTGATCAATATTGATAAAAGGTTGAAAGATGTAATCCAGCAATATGTGGAATGAAACTTCAGGTTCACCATTCCTAACTATGTCTTAAGTTAGGCATAAAGAAACCAGAGTAACCTCCCCCACTGGCACCAGTAAATAAAAATAACTATAATGAGATTACCTTATTATTGTTGCTGATTGTAACAATATTAGCAGGAATAATATAAATTTATTATGTGCTGTTTTTAAATGATAGTACCCAGAATAGCATGCAGCAAAATAAAATTAAATAACATAGTCAATAAATAACTAAAATTTAAAAAGAAATAGCTAAAATAACTAAAAGAAATGTCAAAATGCAACCAAAAAACAGAACTAGACAGAAATCAAGCAACAGTAAAAGTCAATTATGCCATATTAAAACTAGTAACAATAAAACAAGGGGATGCACGTTAAAGCCTGTAGAAATATATGTTTATTCAAAGGTTTAGTGAAATACACAAAGAGGGAATCCAGCAATTTGAACTAGGAAGGCATTATAGTTTTACTCATAGCACTTATATGATAGGGACACCTCTTATGTACATTCACTGAATCTCCTAATAATGGAACCGACAGAAAAAGCTTGAATACTTAATCTATAGAGTAAGCCTTTAAATTCTGTTATGGAAGGCGGCTGAAGGTAATACATGTAGCTAACAGGAATTTTAATGTTTTTCAATTGTTCATGAAAAAGAAAAAAAATGCTAAATTCCTTGATGTCATCCAGGCAGAAAGGTAGGGTGCAAATCAAATAATAATACAATAATATTAATAAATACATCAATTGAAATTTCCAGTTATTCAGATGGAGGGGGATATAATTGTATATATTAGGTATTATAATAAAACTAGGTGATGCATCCTAAAGTCTGTTGAAATATGCTTTGCCCAGTGGATTCTGTACTTTTGAGACTCTAAATCTAACTTTGACCATTTTGGTCTCACATTCACTATGAAACTCTGTTGGGGCTTTTTTTGTTTTAAATAGTTGTAATTTATCAGAATTATGAGGTTTGTCTGGCCTTTCAGATCTGCTGATTGGCATGCTGCCGCTGCCGTCCACAATGGACTTGACAGGGCCTGAAGGCTTCGCTCCAGCCCGTGGGGGGAGCAGAAAGCCAGAGGGGGCATTCACAAGATACCTTGTTACAATTTGTAAAAATATTAAATTTTTCATAAGTATCTAAATTTGAATAATTCACAGCCCATTTTTATAATCATGAAAGTGCACAATATAAAGTGGTCCAATAAAAAAACCCTAGACAACTGTATTTGGATGAAGGTGTGATTAAAAAAAAGGCTAAAAAGAAAAAGAAAAAAAAGAATAAAGTCACAGACTTTAAAGCTATCTAGTAGGCACACTTACACCTCACTGAATACAGTATAGTGTTCTTTTGTTGTTGTTGTTGAATATAATCAACAGAGAAGAATAGAAAGGACAGAATTTGGCAATGTTATATAAGGTAACTAACAAGATTTACCATCAGAAGTCAATCCAAGGGAGAAACCAAATATAAAACAGAAACTAAATACTGGGGAAACAGGAATAATATTTACAAAGAAGGCTAAGAAATTTGGGAGAGCACCCAATACTGAAATAGTGCTTTTGAAAGTTAAAATATCTTTTCACATTTTAGCAAATATTTTATGCCAAATTATAATGACATTTAATTCTAAATAAAGACCATTGTGCCAGTAACATTAGTTCACATTAGTTGAACATTAGTTCAATGGCTTCAGATAAACCTCAAGAATTAAAATAATTTTGCACAACAATAATTTACACAATTATTGGGTTATAGTCTTGAATCACTAATTCTTACACATTTTTATAGATTAAGAAGAGCTTCTACTTCCTGGCAAGGCAACAATGATACTGCAACAGATCATAACTTGGGTACAAAATGAGAAGAAAATGAAGATCTTGTGATGCACATCTGCCACATTGTTACATTTCAGTTAAATTATTGCAAAATGCAGAAAAGGGTTAAGGAATAATGAGCCAAAGAAAAGTGATGGCACGAAATAAGAGAAAGAAAAGGAAACATTGCCAAAACTAGTTTACACCAAGACCATTGTCTATACTTTTCTATATTACAAACCTTGCTTCACCATATCTATAAGCTTCATAGGCTGCCTATTGTTCTTTAAACTTCTCACCTGTCACTTTTTCAAAATGTCATTAACTTCATCCAACCGTATTTCTTCAGTCTTTCCTTTCCCTTGACCCATTCACTCTTCCTTCATATATTAATTTTGCAACTCATTACTCATTCATTCTCTCCCTCAACACACTTCTTTCATACCATTCACTTTCATATTCAGTCCATCTTTATTCAGCATACACTCTGTATTCACTTATCTTGTCCGAACCTATCCATTCATGTCAACTAACAGAATATTTTTTCCTGAATCACATTCATTCATAACATTATACAATTTTTCCAGAAGTCATCTCTCTCTTCTTTAAAGTCATTATTTATTATCATTCACTGGAGCATTAACATGTAACTATGTTCAACATACGATTCCTACTTTCCCATAACAACTCTCATAATGCCAATGCATACTTTATGTCATATGCTGTATTTTAGCTCTTTCATTTATTCATGTATTTTCCCATTCCATTTCACAAGCTCAGACCTCCTTCAGTCAGATCCACTATGTCCTTTCCCTTTTAGACTCACAATACACAAAATATTTATTTTCCTTTCATTTGTTAATTAATGCTCTTTGCCATTTACTCCTCTTACATTCCAAGTTATAATCTTCCATACGCCATAGCCATCACTGGATGGGCCCATAGATATTGACCTACACCACCCATTATGGCTTTGGTCAATTCAGGGTTTTAAATAATGCTTGTTACTAAGATAGGTGTAGTCTAGGTTATTGGCTTTAGTTGTACCCATATCACATGCAGCATCCCCAGCTAATAGTATGGAGAGTACCAGTTTTGCCACATTTTGGCCAGTATGCTACAAGTACAACCAAAACCCTGCTTTATCCCAAGCATGCAATTCTATGCATGCTAGGATCTCTAATCCAGAAAGTTAACATGCTGTTACCTGCATCCACCAGGTAGGTAGTATATACAGAATGTTAACACATTCAGATTTCCCATTACTACTGATTTGTACATGTTATCCATGTTGTGTGTGTATCCATCCAGTCCTTAAATTGAAAGCAATTAAGCTATATTTGAAGAACAGTCAGTGACACCTAACTGAAATGTAGAGCTTCTGGTATACACCTGTCCCCAAAATACAGTAACATTATAAAAGACCGAGGTACAGAAGTTCCAAATGAGATGGATTGATGGTAAAGAGCTACTATCTTTGTTTCTCCTAAACTTTAAGAGTTGCTTTCATTTTTACAATTCAATAATAATCTGAGATTGATAACCAGTGTTACTCTATTTAAGTAATTGTTTAGGATGAGGAATTAACTGATAGGCTTCCATGGAAAATAATCAAGATGATTACTATTTCCTTTAGTCTGTGACATATTCTAAAATCACACTGGTTGAATTAACTCATTGCTTTTTTGTGGTCAATTTTTCCTAGACTCAATAGGCAGCTATTATTATAGATGTGGTACTTACCTTTGTATCCCAGGACGGCTAATGTTATTGCTAGCAAGGCACATAATATATACAAAAGTATGATAGAAAATTTCAGTGTCCAGTTACTTTTACACTTGGTGCATTGTGTTCCTTCTTGAATACCTACAAAATAAAATTAAGAATTTAGATTCTTCTTTAGCTTTAATTATTTTGTAATAAATGGTTCTGAAGATATTTATCTGCAAGTCTGCATAAGGCTAAAACTAAATATGGTTTACTGGTAATCCATAATCAGTTTGTTGGTTTGATAAGAGACAATCATACATTACATTCAATGCAAGTCCAACCAGTTAATCTATTTATCTATTTATCCATCCATCTATCCAAGGACAGATAGACAGAGGTAGTTAGTCACACATAAAGTTCGAAGTATATACTGCATACATGTAGTTTATTCCCACAATGGACCATGTGTGAATTCATACGGGATTCCTGAATGATAGTCCCATATTCTTTTGCACACCAAAGGGTATTCCTTCACCTAAAAAGGTGTGGTAAAATACTATCCTTTACACTGCTGTTAAAATATGCAGGTTCTTAAATAAATAAGCACTAGACACAAAAATATTTTTAAAAATCTTTTGAATAAGGATTTTGATTCAAACAACTAGAAATAAGAAACACCCTTGTGCATTCTATGGGTCTTACATAGAATTATGCTTTTCAGAAAAGTTTCTGTTCTACTTAAAGCATTCTAAATATAAGTTAACCACTTACCTAACAGTTAAAAGAAATATTGACCAATTAAAAACAATGGTATTGAACTCTGGAAACTGAATATATGCTAATTTGTCCAATTAAATTGCAATAGGGCACAAAAGGCACCAGGCTAGAAAGTAGGAGACTGTGAGTTCTAGTCCCGCCTTAGGCATGAAAAACCAGTGGGGTAACTTTGGGCCAGTTACTCTCTCTCAGCCCAACTCACCTCGCAGGGTTGTTGTTGTGGGGAAAATAGGAGGAGGAAGGAGTATTAGGTATGTTTGCCGCCTTGAGTTAATTATCAAAATAATAAAGGCGGGATAAAAAAAAAAGTATGCGTTCTTCCAGTTACAAATGCATAGTCTCATGGTTTTTGATGTTACTTTTGTTTGCTCCTATTAAAATTAAATATCCCAGTACTGAACCTTCTCAGTTCTCTGTAAATTTAAGTAAAATGAATGGAATGAAAGTGAAACTGGGGAGGGCTGGAGTCCCAGGCAGCTTTCGTTAGGAGGAAAGAACTGTACGGTGAATTTTGTATTCTTGAGAATTTCCCAGTATTCATTAGTAGTTTCAAGTTCATAAGAGTATTCCATGTTCTTCAAGGGATCATGTGCTAAATTATGCAAAACCGAGTTTAGTCTGCATTGGACTTTTATCTGTTTGTGTTAGTTCCTTGGTTTGAGTTCTTCATTATGTAATCTGAGCACACAGCTTTAATGATGGGCTGCTTCCAAACTTTTGTCACTGGATGAACATACCAGAGAGTCCGGGTCACTTCCGGATGCTGCACATTTCTCCCTACTGACTTAAACAACCCTTAATAAATATCAGATGGGGTACAATGGGCCTTCTTTCACTAGACACACTTTTCTGTTTCCTGGCTTATTATAATGCAAGGTCTGTTTTTTCTTTGTCACTGTTGGGAAGACATCTGGCTAAACAGACCGATGCTTAGTACAAAGGGATCCAGCTGATACACATATTTTGGGGACCCCCTTTCCCCAGCAGCCAAGATGGTCACAAAAAAACAAGCTAGAAAGATACCCTCCTGTTACTGGCCTTTGTAGTATTTGTTTTTCTTGGATTACATTCCAGTGACTGGGGACTTTGTTCTCAAATGGGGGTCTCCATCTGCAGATTTGGGGCGGGAGAGAGACTACAGATAAACAGTTTTACTACTGAGGAATGAAAAGATGTTTTTGCTTTTTTTTTTTTTTTTAGAAAGCCCCTCAAGTATTTTCAAGAGCCTTTATTTGGATTTTTAATTTAAACCTTTTTTTTTTTTTTTAGTAAGGCTCATCAGTAATTCCAAGAGCCTTTATTTGGATTTTTAATTTAAACCTTTTTTTTTTTTTTTAG